GTTATAACTATAAGTTTCCATATACCAATCATTTATGTTGGTTTTAGTGAACCAAATCCTTTGGCCTAATGTATCAGTTTTATCTTCTACATAGGTTCTATAGGCTTCTAGTAGTTTTATTCCTCAAGGATTAGGGATTTTCCCAAAAAATAATTCTCTTAGACCTTTAGCCATTCCATTATTTGAGACTTTATAATAGTATTTTTGAAATAAACATATGTATTGGCCTAGGTCACAAAGATTACATAATTCTAAATTTTGCAAATTCCATACTACTATTCTTCCAACTCTGGCTTCTTCTTTTTCTTGATTTTCTTCCCAATTTTCTCCTAAAATCTCTTTCTTTATAGTTGATTCAAATCTAGTTATTATGTCTTGGATTGCTTAGTTTCCATTTACTTCTTCTGAAGTCGGATTTCCACTTATAATGGCATTACTTTCTGCTTCATTTAAACTAGCAAACCAATCATGAACTATCTTTTTAAAAGTGACTTCTATAAATCTAACCGCTTGTAAAGCATTCTAGTTTTTATTTGCTATAGCCATCCAAGTGGCTTATGCCCAGTCACTAATGATCTTTTTAGGGTTAGTAATATAGTTTAGATCTAGCCAAATACCATTAGTGCTAATAATTTGTTCTTTGACTCTAACTGGGGTTTCAAATTTAGATTGATTTCCAAATTTCTTTCTATCATATACTATTTCATATATTTGATTTTTATTTCTTTTGTAACTTTGGACAGTGCTAGATTCTACCCTTTGTTGTAATGGGAATTCTATTGGAGTTATGTTAGGTTGCCTCTCTCCTTTTTCTTCTTCACTTTCTTCTTCCATTTCTTCATTTCCTTCTCTATGAGCATTTATTTTCATGTTTTCTACTTGTTTGGTAGTTATGGTAATTTATCTGTACAGATTGTCTAACTCTTCTACACTTTATCCTCTAAGAATCTTTGTTCTAGTTCTTTCAACTTTTTTTCTTGAGTTTTTAACATAAAAAGTGTAATTCCCTTTTATTTAGGTTTTTCTATAAAAATCTTTGGGATTATTTTAAATCCTTCATTTTTTTTCTATAATATTTCGTCTACTACGGACTAATATTTATAGTATCTTGTAGGTCTTTAAGCTAAGTTTGAATTTCATACAAATTCTTATCTATATCACTTTCCAGTTGTGGGATTATTCTATTATACATTTTAAAAATTTTATGGCAAAATTTTCAACGACTACTTTTAATATCCTAAGAATTTCTTCTATTTTGATTTCTTTATTTCTAACTTGGGAGATTATGGTCTTTGAGTCTCTGATAGACCCTTTTTCTTCTTTTATTTCTCTCAAATCTTTAGAATTTTTAATTTCATTTATCTTGTCTCTAATAGACTCAAATTCTTGCGAGAGGGAATTTCCCATTTCTTTAATTATTATTAAAGTATTTTCGTTGATAGTTTCTATTTTTAGAATCTTATCAACGATAATTATATCTTCACAATAGATTATGTTTTTATCCATTGTATTAAGTAAATACATGTTAATTCAGTTTATTTGTTCATTATTCATGTTGATTTCAGTAGATTAACTATTTCTTTTAATTTATTAATCCTTTGTTCTATAAATCTAATCTATCTATTATATAGTACTATAGAATTTATTTTTCCATTTTCTCATCTTAGCTCAACTAGGCGATTTTCTTTCATTTCTGCTAGGACTCTTTCTTCATATTGAACCATTTGCTCAATTTGATGACAAATATTGAGTATTATTCTTGTATCTGTGGCAATATCTCCCATCAAGACTTTCTTGGGGTTTTACTATTGTCTTATAATTTATTTGAGGACTAATCCTGCAATTTTTTCAATTTATCTAACGCCACTTAATGGCTCTAGTTACTCTAGGAGCTGATTTGCCATTGATTTTTGAGTATAAGGGGTGTTTTGCCTCCATTTTGGGTTTGAGGGCTTAAATGCCACCATATTGCCGGTATAAGGACGTTTCTGAACCTTATGCCCTAAATTAAAACCCTAAGCGTTTGCCCTTCTCCCCCTCTCCCCCTCTCCCTCCCCCTTGACTCCTCTTTTTCTCTCTCTCTCCCTTCCTTAATTAGTTGCTGCCTCTTCCCCCCTCCGTGGCTAAGGAGGGTGAAAAATAAGGTGGCATTGTCTTCCTCAGGGTTTCTTTGTCCCTTGTGAGCGTTTTTTTCCCTCTTTGGGGGTTCTACTTGAGTTTTCTCGGTGCTTTCATAAGGTTGTGGTAGGCTAGGATGGGTTGCAATACTCACCTCAACCATCATTGGTGTGGCCAACGGGTGGGATTCCTAGGTAATTTTTATACCCCGAAAGCTGTTGTAACAGTTGAGATTAAGAGCATGGTTGATGAAGTTTGTAAGAGTATTTACTTTTTTTTACTGTTTATGAATTATAAGTTTAAATTTTTATTGGATGAAAAAGTTAAAAGCTATTTTTAGAAATAGAAAGAAGTGAATAAGAAGTGAGTAAAAAGGAAGTTAGTAAAAGTAAAATTTATAAAAAACATAAATTTGAAACTTTTTAAAATTTATTATTTAAGATCTTTTTAAAATTAAAAAGAAAATTAAAAATGTGAGTTTTTAAGAGAGAAATTTAAATTTATAAAATATGAATAATGTTAAAAAGCTTAAGTTATTATAAGTTTCACCAAACATATTATAAGTTAGAAGAGGCCTTATCTCGATAATTAGGAAGGCCCACTAATCTAAAAGTTAGTATTATATAATTTAATATAATTTAAATTATAAAATATTTAAAAAAAATTATATATGCAGTACTGTTGTTGTAAAAGAAAATAATAATAATATAATAAAATAAAAAAAGCATTTTACAAATCTTCCTCTCAATTTTGTTTCAAGACTTATTTAAAAATTTATTTTTTAATTAATATTTTAAAAACTAATTAATGGATTAAAAATTTATTTATATAAATCATATAAGTCAATTTTTTAATTATTTTAATAAATCTAATCACTTTGTTAATTACATAAAATTTAACATAATTAAATATATATTAGTAAATAAAATTTTTTTATCAAAGAATTAAAAATATTAAATTAATATATATGATCTCTATATAAATAAAATATTTAACCTCATTATTTATTTTTAAATATATCAATTGAAATATAATTTTTTAAAATAAATCTTTAAAAATTAATTTTAGAAATACGACCTGTCTTACATTGTTCTTTAATAAAATTATATGATCATGATAGCTTCTGATGAATGCCTTAATTCGATAGTCGTCATTTATTTTAGACATCGGCGGCGTCAAGCTCCACCACGATTGAAACCAACTTCTCAGGATCCAGAGGCTTCACAATGATCTCATCAACTTTGGCCGCTAGAAAGGCCTGCTTGTCTATCTCTCTTAACGACTTCCAAAAAACAACACAAGCCTCTTTATTTTTAATCCAAACTGATCTATATGATAAAAATTGACTTAATTTGATTAAAATCTAATCTAAATTTGATATTAATTTAAGTTGGTTTGAATAAAAAATTTTAAAACTAATATTATAATTAATTTGATTTATGATTTTACTTTTCAAACTAATTGATTCTCCTAATTATAAAATAATTAATTAAATAATATAATAATTTATTTTTTAATTTTTGAAAAAATATATTTTTTAAAAAAATTTTTAGGTAAAATAAAAATATAATTAACAAATTATATATAAATTATATTTTGTATACAAAAAATATTTTTGTATGCAAATTGTAGTTAGAATTTTTCTTTTCTTTTTGTAGTTTTTTTATTTTTAATTATTGTACTATAATATTAATTGTATTGATTGTCTTATTCTCATTTTATTTTTGTTTTATAATTGTACAATATAACTTAATTTATTTAATCAAAAAGCAGTGCAACTTTAAATTGTTCCTTCTACAAACAAAAACCATGCTCCTAGAATTCTGTATGCTAACTGGGGCTGACATGTTTTGGGAGCCTTTTGGTACTATCATTTTGTTTTTTTATGATGTTAAAGTATTTTATAATTATATTTTATATAATTTGATATTAAAATTTTGTTTATCTAATTAAATATATTTAAAATTATATTAAAAACTAATCAATCTGATCAAACTAGTCTAATCTAATCTAAGTTAAGGCTTCATTGGACAATACTACATATAGTACTTTTTACACATATTTATAGAATTTTTTGTAATTTATATGTTTGTAAATTATCCATTCCTACTTTTTTTTTAAAGGAATACAAGAGCTATTTTATTCAAAATTAATAGGATTTCCAAATAATTTAATAGAATTTCTAAATCTTTTTGGTACATTATATATTAAATTATTAATTAATTTAATTTTAAATAATAATATGTCTAATTGAATAATTTTATTATAGGTAGTTTTTTTAAAT